GTAAAAAATGAATTTAAATAAAAGGAAGTAAAAATTTATAAAAATAATAAAATACGATGAAACATAGAAGAGAAAAGAATATAAGTAAAAATTAAATAAATCATTTAAAAAATAACAAATTAAAAAGTTGAAATATAATTAAAAATTACAAAAAATAAATAAATACATATATAAAGGCACAACGAATTAATGCACTACAATAGATAAAAATTCAAAAATAAATGCATTAAAAAAGTAAATGGCACAAAAAATAATAATTCTAGTTAACCTCTAAGGAACCTTGCAGATATTTGCACTGTCCTTTCCAGCGCCTTTCTAAAGGAATACCAGACACTAGGAATTTTTATTTTTGCATGTATGTATGCATGCATCTATTTTTCGTATATTTCGTACTTGTTAACTCTCGTTTGTTCTTAAATTTGCTATTTGCATTTATGTTTGTCATTCTAAGCTATTTTAGTTGTTTTTTAGTGAGCTTACAAAGACGCATGCCCTCGCAAGTATGGAGAAGGGTTGCTTTCATGGCTAAGTGTCCTGTCAGCGATATACTCTCCGCTTGTTGTTGCTGTTTTTCTCCTCAGCCTCTGTAGCTAGTTTTGTTATCTGAAGTATCATTTGTGTGCATTTGTTGTAGTTTTTTTTTAACTTCCATTTGTTTAGCTTTTGTTGTTGTTTTCGAGCTACTGTTATAGGCCAATGCAAAAGTTTATATTCGTTCACAGGAGTTGAATATCTTTGTGTGTGTTTGCGCCTACTTGCCCATGCGCGTAGTTTGGCATTGTTCGAAAACTATAAATTTTATCAACAACAATACACACACGCACATATACATATCCATACCCACAACAAACACACTTACATATACATACATATTTACATGGATGGAGCTAACGGGCGGCAGGGCAGGGGGTAATAAACCTGCTTTTTAAACTACCACTTCGGGGAAGGAGATGGCAATTCATAAACTCGGTGGCAGAGCTATCGTCGATTTATCTTGGAATGGTTGTGGTGGCATAGCTTCCAACTTAAAAGTAAACAATGTTTTGGTTTCCAAGCCCGAAAAAACTGGATAGTACCGATGCCGTATCATCTTGGCCATCGTTTATACCGGTGGCCGCCTTGGTAGAACCCTGATATAAGCGTAGATAGCTGATTTTCCGTTGATTTAGAACAGGCTCTGCTACCACTTTAAGCGTTGTAAGCTCATCTGAGGGTCACATGAGCAACTGTATGATACCATTTGGTATTCTCTTGAGGTTAGTTTAAGTCAGATGGTGTCAATATCTCTTGAAGCAGTAGAAGATCTTTATCTGCGTTGGATTGTGGTTGAACTCCGAACTCAACGATCGGTAGTTGGTAAATGGGACGATTAACCCTCAATCAATGTCGTTTATAGGCTAACTAAACTACGTCGGGTCCGGTGGTTGCGAGATGTAAGTCTGGATCTCGTACTTGAGTTTATAGAGATGCCTTCTGAAGTGGCTATACTGCTAGCTAGTTGTTCGGGTGTTTCCCACGGTAGAAGGAACTCCCTGCTGAAAATGAAATTATGTTCGAGACGATTGTCGGGTGTCTACAAAAGTTGGTATCTTTTGGACTGCAGTCAACTAGCTCATCAAAGTTCAACATAAGCTCCGATGCCTTACGCTCTCTGTTCAGCTAATGTTAGGCATTGGCAAATATGCTGGATTGTCTTCTCCTTATCAACTTTCTGACTTCTTCTGCAATAACAGGTTTAGGAAAACCTAAGACCCAATATTCAGTAAGAACCTGGGAGGAGTGGTTAAGTTCTTTGTTTAAGTAGTGCTTATATGTGGAATCACCTTAGAGTTTCCTCACCCTGCAAACATTGGAAGTCCCGGGAAACTTGACTCTTGATTGAATATATGCTATCGGAATGGGTCTATTGTAGGGCATAACTTTAAACGAATTTTATGTGGACTTCTCTGTAATTTTTAATAGTCGGGTCGGGTTCATTGCTTATGGCGTCAGTCTCTAGAGAAATCAGAAAAGAAAAAAATTTGTTTACATCATCGCCCGTATGCCAGAAACAAGAATTTTGGAAAATCAAGTTTAAAAGTGTTTTTAGGAGATCTAACTCTACTTTTAGGTATGCAATTGTAGTTGTAAAATATATGATTTCCCTATACACATGGTAGTCTGGGTTTTAGTATAACATAAAACATCCAAAGCTTAATCAAGTCAACCCAATAACTCAAAGCTGATAAATTTGCACATTCATGGTTCTGGCATGAGGGTGACGATATGTAGTATTAGCAGAATACTTACCTAACGTGACAATACTTTGTTCGTTCCTTACTGCCATCCCTAAATTGGCGAGTCAAGCGCCAAGCAACTGTCAAAAATCCTCATGCCCATACAATTTG